GGTGTTATTTAGTCAATACATCAAAATTTCTTGTGATTATGATGTCATTTTATTCCGTAAAAAGTAAAAAAAAAAAATAATAAATTTTTTATCTCGTTTATAGCATCCGTAGGAAATTGTGGGAAAGGAAAAGATCCAGAACCCAAAGTACCAGCAAAAGGAAAAGACCCAGAGGCTGCCAAGGTACCGGCAAAAGCGAAAGATCCAGGGCCTGCCAAAGGACCGGCAAAAGGAAAAACCCCTACTCCACCCTGAAAAAGTATCAGCTGAAAGAATAAAATTACATTTAAATCCATAATCGCAAAATACCTTTATTTGTATATTCAAAATATTAACCCCAACTCCTACAATTAACAAATTCGTAACGTATTATTTTATTCTATGCTAAGAAAAGCGGATGAGATGTATATATTTCGTATTTCTTGTACCTGGATTTTAGTATTTTGGAGAACATTGGATTATAATTATTTTTTTTTACGCATAGATTAATATAGTTTTATTAAAGATTCCGCTTTCATTTTCATTTATTTTTTGGTAGAATGGTTTGGAAAATTATTATTAAAGTCAAACTACATTATATATTTTAAACTAGTTTTAGAATGTCAATTTTTAAATTTTGTTTCGAATATTACCTGTACCATTATAATATCGTCTGCTCTCGTTCAGCTTAAGCTATTCTACCAAAATTCCAAATGAGAACTTTTATATGGGATATCGCGTTTGTATTCAAAAGTTTACGTCAAAACCGAAATGAAAATAATCAACACATAGGTGGTTGGTTCGCTTAAAACGAATTAAGATATATTTTCCAGAAATATATCTTTCTTTATCAAAAAATCCGCCTTACATTATCATTATTAAACAGTTGAGGATAATTATATATAGTATTATTTGAATTTATAATTAATGTAGATTTTCGGAATTAAATTCCAATCAACAAATTATTCAATAATCATTCTAATATAAATAAATCATTAAATAGACAAAACAAACGTTAAACTTATTATGATCCGATTTCAATCCGATAAATAGAATGCTTTCTGGAGTGCGTCTCTCTTTCTCTCTGCAAAAACATTTTTAATAAAAAACAGATTTCATGCCTGCACCTCTTTTTATTTTTCAAATGTTCCTTTCCCTCGCTAAAATTATGAATTGAAAGGATTCAATCAAAAAAAAAAAAAAAAACTGAATTTGAAATTGCACTTAAAATTTCAAGGGGATATTTTTAAACGACTCCCTTTCAATCCAAGCTGTTTAGATAAACATCATGATTATTACTCTTGCCACGTATTAACAGATTTAATAATTATACCAATTTTATGAGTTAGCATTATTTGCGTGTAATAATATAGTAGTGGTAGAAATCGCGTCTAATTTGATTTGCCGATTGTGATATAGACAGACAGATAGATAATTTGACAGCTGCGCCAAATTTAGCGAGAAATACCCACGTTTTCAAAAATTTGGTTTTATCTCCCTAAGCAAAATATCTCTATGGAGCAAGAATCAGGATACAGTTATTTTACTGAGATTGAACCTTCTGAATGGTCTCTTATCGGCTTTTTAGAATGGAAATCTAAAACTACTCATCTTATATATAGAAGCAAGAAGCATAGTGCGTTCAAATCTTTTCTCCAGAATATTGCAAAAGACAAAAAAAAAACACCAATGCACAAAGGGCGAAGATGCTACTCGACAACTGGAAAGTATGAATTTTTGTTTGTGTTTTTTTGGTTCTGTTGGCAGGCCAAGGATTGTTATTGCCTTGGTAAGATCGCCGAGTCTATTGCTATAATACATTAGTGTGATCGCTGAGTCATCTAATGTTGAGTCGCTGAGCTTGTTACAGTCTGTCAACCATACCTGTAATATTCAGTTTTATTGGTAGGCCAAAACTTCTTTCTGAGCTTTTGATAGGATCGCTAAGTCTATTGCTGTAACACATTAGTGTGATCACTGAGTCATCTAATGTTGAGTCGCTGAGCTTGTTACAGTCCGTCAGCAGTAACCGTGATGTGTTTTGTATTATTGTAAAGTTCTATATTTAAATTTATGAGCTTTTTCTAGAGCATTAAATGTTTTTGGAAGTTGAGAAATTCTAGGAAAGTCATAAAAAAATTCAAGATCTATGACAAGATATCTAACACGTCAAGATGTATAATGAACTAAAGTTATTCCAGATCGAATCAGAAGATATAAGATTTTTACTGTTCCCCGTATAAATATCTTTGTTTTAGAGTTTACACTAATACTTTTATTCTAGTTAAACTACGCTCTTGATCAAAGTAAGAATTTAAACTTTATCGCATTAGAAAACAAAAAAAAACATAGTGTTGAAAAAGGTATAGATGTGTAATTATTTATCTAGACGCTGAGAATTGATAGAATGATGATTATCTGATAAAATTAACACTTTTTTTTTATATTTTAACACTTTAGGATAATCTCGAAATGAGTAAACAAAATGCGGAAGAGGATAATGTAAGTTTGTGATATTTCTGATCATCCAATATTATTTTTATGTTATATTTCACAATACTGAATTTTATTTTTATAAAATTCAAATGACGAGATTAATCAGTTCTTTAATAGTCCTTCTGCAAAAGGATTAATCCATTTTATTAAGAAACTTAGCAAAATATACAACAAGAAAAACAAGAAAAGCAAGGTATAATATTCATATTAAAGTAAACAGTCCAGTTGGCATAATTTTCTAACTATTTAGAGCAATCAAGATTGAATAATCACTAATTGGTATGATTTTATTTTTTTAGGCCAAATATAAATCACAGGATCCCATTATATCTGCAATCAATGCAGTTTTAGATTCTTCATCACCTGAAGATGATTATACTATAGATTCAGATTATTTTTCACCTGAAGATGATAACATTACAGATTCAGTTTCTGTAAAATCTTCTCAAATGTCAATGAAAATAAAAGAGAAGATAGTTTGTATATACCAAAAAATAAAAACCCAATCAAAATGGTATATATTAATAGGCAAATATATCAAAGAAACATTATTTAATTTTTCAATGATCACAAATTATGAATAGTAAGTAGCTCAACTGCTTGTTTAATTTTATATTGCTATTATTATTTTTTTTATCCTGTCAATATTGAATTCTAAAGTTATTTTTTTGACCTGGATGATGAAATGTATAATTCAATATTTACTAAAAAAAAGCTCAATAAAATTTGGTCTTACAACAATAAAAAATTCCCTGAAGTACCAGATGATCTTCTTAAATATCTCTTAAAATATAATAAAGTGAAAGTATAAATATTCAATTCATACTTCTTTACACATATATTACATATATTGATATCTAATTCTTCTATTTCTTAATTCAAGAATTCATTAGTGAAACTAATAGAAATTCTAGCAGAAAAGAAACCTTAAGAAGAAAGTAACTACAATAAAAGCATCCATTTTAATTTTGAATAGATAAAAAGATCAATATATAACCTATGAGTATATAATCTTAAAAATAATAATTCAAGCTTACATTAATATTTTTCCTATACAATTAACTAACTAAGAATAAGCGAATATGATACTGATAATTTAAGATTTGATCAACATGAAAACTGGTATCTCATTTATTTCTGAAATTTCATTAACAACTTGATGTCAGATTTGGATAATGTATATAATGCCTGTAATGATATATGTAGTCACATAAACACAAATAGAAAGAATCGTTATCAAATTTTATAAGGAATCATCCATTTGTTAAGAAAAAAGATTAGACATAAAAATGAACTAATTATTAGAAAAAATAAACATGAATACGAATACTCAGAAACTGACAGATTCTATAAAGGGATGAATAACATAAAGATATTAAAAAAAAAAGAATTTAAATGTCTTAAGATTTTAAAGGATATATTTTCAATTTTTATAAGATGAAAAATCAAAAGAATAAGGCAAACAGAAGTAATTAGTTAAATTCATATCAGTTTGTATCTATATTTAAACTTTTATTTGTATTTATAGTATGTTTTTAATGATATCCTATTATTCTTCAGAACTAATGATGATATTAATACAACTTGATAATTCAAATAGATATATATGTTACATTATGAAGATACTGTTATATCAAATAGCAGAAGAAGTTGAACAGTTTAAAAACAATTTTGAATTTTTTACTTTGATATTGAAAACTAAAGCTATAATCAAGAGAATTATATTATTGGTTGAAGGTAAAAATAACTTAAAAGCAAAAAGAATAATAGCAAAAACTCTAGAAAATAAACAAAAAATTCTGCAGTTATGGCTACTATACGAATTTATAATTACGTCAGTTTACCAAATAAAAAGAAAAAAAGTCAGACTAATTTTCAATAATATTTTTATATATTCAAAACTAAAGTTGAAATTAGAAGAACATAAATAATATGAATCTTCTTAATAGTAAAAAAATATTCTCTAAATAATAGATAGTATAATAGGATAAACAAATTCTTTAAATAATTGCATTCAAATAATCTGCAAAAATTGTATTTTTTACTTTTGATTAATATTATTAATAAAGCAACTCATATATTTTGAATTTAATTTTTAGATTATAATTGTTGAAATAAAATGTGATGTTTTTATCACTGTGAAATACAAACTGAATATTTATATTTTATTTTGAATATAAAATTAGTGATTTTAATAATTTGAATAGCTATTATATGCACAATTTATAAAATATTACATTATTCTGATTCTAGAAAATGAAAATGAGTCTAGTATTCAGCTTTTGATTATTCTCAATAATCCCTATAATTAATTTGCAACTTTGATTTTAAGTATGTTATGTATTTTATAAGTGATATTATATTTGTTAATTACATTTGCTTCACTTTTTATTAATATAAAAATACTATTCTACAGTTAAATGATAGCTTAATTATTGTACAAAATCTGATTAGCTGATCTGTAATTTATTTTGTAATTTAAGTTGTGAGAAAGTTGCAGAAATTGGCAGGATCTAGTGAGGTCTCATATAATACAAATTTTTTATTATACGTTAAAAATAATTTAGATCATCTAATCTATAGTATATACTTATAAATATACATTAAATTATCAAATTTTTTTTTTATTATAAAAAATTTTTTTATTAATAATTTGACAAATAAATTTGCTAAAATAAAAGCATCAAACTTGAAAATTTATTATTTAAAATTTTAACATTTTTGAATTAATATTTAGTATACTTACCTTTAGCTCTAATTATTACATTAATATGATTAAATAAGTTTAAAATTAAGTAATATAACATTTCATGACTAATTTTTTCCACTCCTCTTTAATAGTATTTATTAACTCTTATTTTATTTTAGGTAAAGATTTTCTTTTTTGAACTTTATAATCCAAGCGATTCCACAAGTTCTTAATTAGGTTTAAGTTTAAAGTTTATATTATCTAATCTAAAATTGAAATATTATGAGTTAATATCTACCAAATACTATATAAAGATGATGATAAGGTGCTTCATCTTATTAAAATATAGAATCAGGATAATTACTAATCTAAGGTATAAAATAATTAGCAAAAAAAAAAATTTTGAATTTACTTACTTGTAGCTAGAGTTAAAGGCGGTCGGATACTTATGACCGCTACTGTATTAAAAAATTTAAATATTTCTCGTTTCTCTAATCCTTCTTCTTCATAAAGATCAGCATTACTAAAAGATCTATCTCAACATCATTATTATCTAATATTAAAATAATATTACATATCAAAACCTTTACTCTAACTATCAATATTTTTTATTATTATCTCCAATTATTATTATTCCTTTTTTTTTTTTCATTTTTCTTCTTAAATTTCATATTTAATTTTTTTTATAATTTTTTTTTTTGATTTTCTGCTAAAAAAAAAAAAATTTTTTCTTAAACAAAACTATATGGTATTTAAAATTAACAGTTATAAGCTAATCTATATCTAGTTAAGAACAAGCAAATTTTAATATTTATAACTTTATTATTTTTATAGTTTTATTTTTTTTTTATTTATTTATATATTATTATTATAAAAACTTAAATAAATAAATAGAAACTATTATTAAATATTATAATCTATTAAATAAAAAGAATAATAACTAATAATATTAAAATAATTTTTCAATTGGTAATTTAATAATACAATATTTATAAAATTAGAATCCTCTGTATAGTCACAATTTATGTAATTTTAATAGTAAGTTAATTATTTAGAAGGATTTTCTATATAATCACATTTTAATATAAAGTATATACATGATTTTTGATTTTGTTATATGATGAAATATTTTAAAATTTTAAAATTTAGATAAAAGTATATCAATTTCATCATATGATAAAACATTTTAGAATTTTAAAATGTAAATTATAATGACAAAAATATTTTAATTTTATCTAGCATTATTATCTATAATATATTACTTATAATAATTAATTTATTCCTCTTGGTAATATTACAGATAGTTTAAATTCTAGACTTGATCTTACTTTACATCATTACTATATGTAAAAAACTTATTTTAACTGAAAAATAACAAAAAGACCAATTTAGATAGTGTAAGAAGAAACATTATTAAAAAGTTAAATAGAAATAAGTAGTATGGTTAAATAAGTTAAGATTTGCTCTTTTTAAATCAGATAGTTATGTAAGAATTTGAAAATATTTTAGAGAAGCTTATAATAAAAAGTTTAGAGGTGGAAGCCAGAAGACCCTTCTCATAAATAGTACACATAAATTCAGCATTAAGGTTCCTCTGAA